AAAAAAAAAAAAAAAAAAAAAAAGGCATGATAAGGCAAGGGAGTTGAGGTAGTATGGAAGAGAGTGATTATGATTGCCAGTGAAATCTAAGCTAAGCACAGGAAGAAACAAGGTGAGTAAATGACAGTGAAAAGGTGGTAAGATGAACAAAAAATAGGGGAGATTAGATGAAAAGTAGGTAGATAGATATGGATGTATGTATGTACATAGAAAATATTAGCAAAAACATGTTTTTTTAAGGCCGAGTGATAGATACATGAAGGTTTATTGAATTGTTCTCTCATACTTTAGGGTATATTTGAAAATGTTCACAATAAAAAGTTGGTTTCTTAAAGTGGTAAGATGGTTTGTGTAAAGATTGTTGGAGTCAGGGTTTCAGAAGAAGTAAGCTAGAAAGAAAGGAGATATAGAGCCAAGATAGTGATCTGATGGAAATTGACAGATTGGAGACACTGAAGGGTTGCAGACCTTGTTAGTAACAGGGTCTATCTAGGGAGCTATGTGACTACCTACCAGGAAGGTGGGGTGTAAGATCAAGGCAGAAGAGGAGACAAAGGAACCCAGAGGTCAGACTATTGTGATGATGAGCTACATGGATATTAAAAGCACTAAGTAGTGTTAGCATGGCAGGAAGCCAAACACTAAAGCCTTCAAAGAATGGGGGAGAATGACTGGTGGGAGAGCTTGATGAACCGGTGGTTTTTAGAGGAGAAACCATTCGGAAGTTGCAGGAACAGTAAGGAAGACCCAGAACTCTACTCACCCCATCACCTCCCCCACCAACCAGAAGGTACCAGGAATATGCAAGATAAAACAGCTTCCACTTGAGTGGGCTCTAGGGGAAGTAGTGTCCTCAGGGGAGGGCTAGATATTAAGGGAGAAATTGTTCTACTAAGAATCTAAATTAGTCGGTTACTGCCCCTGAATGTTAAATTGGGCTATCCACCTCCTGGCAGTAAAAGTTACATAAAGGAGAATTGATAGGTTATATAGTCCTTAGGATCTGACAAAAGGAGGCATATAATTTCTTCCAAAGAGAACAACACTTTCTAAAATTCCCAGAATTTTTTTCATAGATCCATAATCATTTTTGTATCCCTAGCAACTAGAACAAAGTTTGGAATATGATCAGAATACAGTAAATTTTTGTTTAAGCAGACTCATCTGACACAGAAGTTCATAAGGAACAATGTCTTTAAGGGCAGGTTTTTTAATATAAAAAGCTTATCTTAACCCTAAAATAGGATATAGTCACAAGGTTTCTATTGATCTTAGCTTTGAATCTGAGGTGGCATTTTTCAAAAATGAAGCTAATTATACAATTTGCTTTAGTCGTTCTTTTCCTACAGACACATTGTACAGTATATTATAAGGCACTGAGATAGTTAACAGTTTTTAGTATTCACTTTTATTCTTTCATTTTGAAGAGGAAAACCTGCCATTTAAAAGCATGCAAAGCTAATTAAAGCTTTTCCACTATTTCATTATCTGAATGTAGTTGCAAATTCTGACTTAAAACTCTTATCAGAAGGAGACTCAACATCCCTCCCTGAACAGCAAATGAACATTCAATTAACACTTCAATACAAGTGTATTTTAAATAAAAATATACTTTATTGTTAATCTCATTCTTTACAAATGCAAATACCCAATTTTAAAATCCAAAGAGAGTTGCCTCCCTTTTATTCTTTGGGGGAAAAAAAGTCTTTTCTTTATTTACAGGGAAGACCCGAATTTTCTGAAGTTGTTACCAAGTTAGAAGAGTGTCTCTGCAACATTGAGGTAAGAACTTTAGCTTCTGAAATATGTCCATAAAAAAAGTCTTGAGTATCCAAGGGTGTTGGGGAATAAGTAAGATGGTGCTTCTAGAAAGATAGTAGGTATGGAGGTCTATAACTTCATTCATATTTTTAACCTGTTCATTAAGTTTCTAGGGTGGACTAACTGAATCTATAGGGATAAAAACAAATCCAGCATGAATCTAGGCCTTTCCAACAAATAATCAGTCAGGCAAATGGACACAGGTATGCCCAGCTTTAAAATTAATATGTAAAAACTTGAAAATACAGTAGTGACCCCTGGGGGGCTCAGTCCCTTAAGCATCTGACTCTTGATGCAGCTTATGTCCTGATCTCATGGTTTGTGAGATCAATAGAGCCTGTTTGGGATTCTCTCTCCCTCTCCTTGTCCTCCTCCCCTGCTTGCTTGCAAGTGCATGCAATACGTTAGAAGTTAATTGTTTAAATCAACTTTTTTCTATACAAAAGCTCCTATATACAGTGAAACATAAATTAAATTTTAAGCCACTGTGTATTTATGCTCAATAAGAAAGGGAAAATTATCACTAAAATTAGTGCATAAATTAATTGGGATGCATTGCTTTTATACCACACATATGTTGCATAAAGTGATATATGTTGGTAATCAGGCTAATGGAATTTTCTTCCCTTAATATCAAGGAGCTGTTTGCTTTAATTTTCTCTCTAATTGCCTTAATTTTCTATACACCTGGTCAGAAGATAGGATTTGAAAATAAGTAAGGAAGCTAAAACATGAGCACTAATTCAAAAATAATAATATATTCCCAAGGCAAATGAATGCTGCAAGAGAGGGGGGTGGATATCACACGTATAGGCTCATATATACATATGCATATGAAGGGAAGGGCCAAAACAGGGGAAACAGCATCAACCCGAGATTGCACAGTGAAATTCCAAAGTGGAACCATCCCACTTTTTTTCCCTAAAAAAAATCTCAACTTAGTGTCATTAGAACCCAGTTTATTGGGAAAGGGTTCCAGGTCTTCACTTACAGCCTGGAGTGAATGGCTCTGTCTCATAACTCTTTACCAGAACTTCTAAAAAGGAAGCCTTGTATGTAGGAAGGAGCTTCAGTCTCTGGACATTAAACTTTCATTCCTTTCTCTTCGGTCCTGAAACATATATATTTGGTGGGGCTTCAGCAGCCCCTACCAACAAGAGAATCTGCCAGAGGCCTTGAATGTTGAAAGACACTTTTAAGGCTTGAGTTCCAAGTGTCCCCTCACTCAGAACCTTTGAGTTTCCCAGGGCAAAACTGCTGGGGATATAGCCAATTAGATGAAAGAGATATCCAAGTCTGGGGAATATATCCAATTAGATGAAAGAGTGGATTCCAGAAACAAGAGACAATGGTAGGACTTCCTAAACTAGTTTGTCTTCTTATACTGACCAAGCCTCTTAGCACAATCTCCCCTCATAGAGAAGATGAATAACTATATGCAAGAGAACTTGCTGGACTGGGTTGTACTAAATAATGGACCCAAATCAGCTTTCAGGGGCTTGGTTTGTGGAATTCCATATCTCAGAAGATAAAATGATGGGACATGTCTAACAAGAATCAGTATAACATCACACACCAGGGTCAAAGAAACAACAGTAAGAATATCAAATGGTGGAGATATGGTTTAGGAGCATCATGAATGTCAATGGATAACAAACTCTGTGGGAGTTAGAATGTGAAGTAGCTGTCTTGCTACAGAATAAGGATGGGATTATTCCTCTCTCTTCTGAGATAGCCAAACAAAATAGTACCCAGTTTTGTCCTTTTAAAAGGATAATTATAACTGGAACACAAACTTTAGGGGAGAGATATCAGAATGATGAATGGATTGAAGTCATGTATGTAAGAACCAATTAGAGGAACCAGGGGTGTTTGTCCCAGAGAAGAGAAAATCAGGATGAGTCCAAGAGCTGTTTTGTAAACATCTGAAAAATTATCACATGCAAAGGGATTGGCCTTGTTCTCTATGGGCCAACAAATAGAAATGAAGGGTAATTAAGGTTTTTGTTTTATTTTGTTTTGTTTTGTTTTGTTTTAATGAGAAAGAACTTTCTTTCTAATTGTCAGATCTGTCCTAAGATAAATGAACAGATCTGGAGGCAGTGAGTTCCCCATCACTGGAAGCTCCCCATCAGCTTACATAGCTAACTTGGAAAAGAGGCACGGAAAAGATTCAATCATTGAAGAGTTTGAAGGTTCATTTCAACACTGACATCACATGATTCTCAAAGCTTTACTTAGAAATGCCTTGGCTACTGTGAAGAGCCTAGAATTTACATATATTATATTTTTAAACCCAAACCTACAGTCTACATGTCTTAGGAAATTATAATGTCAAAGCACTAATGTTCTCAGTTGGGTTAGGTAAAGTGCATAAACAGCAAGGTCATCAGAAATTCAAGAAAACTACTCTCCTATTTTTTCTCTACTCCTCATTTTCTTCCCTCAATACTCTTCTATTTTCTAGCTACATTTAACTATTTGTAACTATTTTTAAAAATTCTCTCCCAAAGACTCTCTTTAGTCCTCATGCTTGCCAGACATTAAAGCATCCTTCATTTTATAAAATGGATGTATTCTTGGAAAAGTGTATAAATTCATTTTATGTAAAGGAAATAATTTCATATAAAGGGGATAATTTTAAGCTACAACTTAAAGGAACTCTGCCATGAATCTTATCACCATTGTGAAAAATGTAATCTTTTAGCCATTAAATAATCACCCTTTAAATATCTATTTTATGAATCTGATTTGAGCCTACCATGTTTTCTGAAAGATGAGTGTAAGTTTAAAGGGCCAGCTCTCAGCATAGAACTGGGTCAAAAAAGTAAATTAAGTGAGCCATGTGTTGCCATCAGAGGCCGATAGGAAAAGCCAGAAGCAAGCTGAGATGAATAGAAATTAAAAATGAGAAATCCTAGAATAGAAAGCTAAAATAAATCTATATTCTATTCTTTGCCCTAAGCCTGTTGGTTTTATTAAAGGATTGAAACTACCCCTTCTTCACTCAGCTGATGTCTCCCACATCAAGTAACAGCAGTGGGTCTCTGTCACCTTCCTCTTCTTCTGACTGCCTGGTGAGCCGTGGAGGGCCTGGCCGGAGCCATGTGGCAGCTTTACGAAGTCGTTTTGAGTTGGAATATGCTCTAAATGCAAGGTCCTATGCTGCCTGGTCCCAAAGGTGAGTAGCAATCTAAGCAACAATCTCACAGTCCAGATGAATTCCAGAATCTCATCAAGATAGTTATCTGATGTGGTTAGTATCAATGGGGGGTTTACCACCCCATGCCGAACTTTGAAGTAAGAGGATTTAGCCCATTTTTCTTATAATATTATATTAATATTATGGGACCAAAAAATAGGAATTCTGTTATTTGTTAGTTTAGTAATTCTAAGTTTCAAGTAACAGCAGTTAACTCTAGCTTAAGTAAGAATTGTGTAGCTACAGCAACAAAGGGAATTTATTGAAAGTATTTTGTGGTTATCTTATGGAATCCAAGGAAGAATTCCTTGTGTGGCAACCAAGAAACAGCTTTAGGATCTGAGCACCAAAGGTTCAGCACACTGAGGATTACTCTATGACCCAGCAATTCCACTCCTAGGTATATACCCTAAAGAATTGAAAACAAGTACTCCAACAAATACTTGTACTCAAATGTTTAGAGCAGTCCTATTCACAATAGCCAAAAGGTGGAAACAATCCAAATATCCATTAACAGATAAGCAGATAAACAAAACGTGGTACGCACACAATAAGATGTTCTTCAGTCATGCTACAACATGGATGAACCTTGAAAACTTGCCTTCATTGGAAAGACACCAAGCACAGAGACCACATGTTATATGATCCTATTTATATGAATATTCAGAATAAGTGTGTGAGTCAATTCAGGCTGCCATAACAAGATACCACAGACTGGATGGTTTAAATAAGAGAAATTTACTTTTTCACCAGGGGAGACTGAAAGTCTGAGATTAGGGTGCCAACATGGTCAGACTCCAGTGGGAATTACAGATGCTCATCTTCCCTGCTCACAGATGGCCTTCTTCTCACTGTGCTCTCACATGGCAAAGAGAGCTCTGCAATTTTCACCTTTTTATAAGGGCACCAGTCCTGTAGGATCAGGACATCACTCTTCTGACCTCATTTAAACTTAATCACCTCCTTAAAGGCCCCATCTCCAGTACCCTCACATAAGGGGTTAGTGCTTCAACATACGAATTAGGTGGGAGGGTGACACAACTCAATCCATAATAGGTAATATGTAAACCCATTATAAAAAAAAGAAAAGATCAGATTGGTCGTTGCCAGAGGCTGGGGTGGGGATGGGAAATTAGGAATAAAGGCTTAATGAGTACAGGGTTTTGTTTTCGGGTGATGAAAATATTTTGGAACTAGATAGAGGTCATTGTAAAACACTGTGAATGCACTAAATGTCACCAAATTGTTTACCTTAACATGGTTAATTGCATTTATATGAACTTTAAAAGAGAGAGAGAGAGAGAGAGAGAGAGAGAGAGAGAGAGAAACTTAACTAAAGGAGCAAGTCAGAAAAAGAGGGAAAAAAAGTTCAACATTCTTCCATAGCAAGCTCTGCCATTTTACATGCCCCTGTTCCTCTCAATAGGAGATCTTTTTGTCTCTCAGCTTAATTGTAAAGCTTCAAGAAGAGATATATTAGTTATGTAGTGCCATAATAATTCTTTATAAAATGCATACCAAAATACCAGCTATCAAAATTCAACAATATTTGATCATAAGCTTTTATTTCTTGCTCATGTGCCTGTGAACTGCTTATTGGTGGGCTTGACTCTGAGCACAGATTTTATCCAGGGCTATTCCACATGTCTTTCTCTGTCCTCAGACCAGCAGCTACCTGAGACATGTTCTTCTCATGGACAAAGGCTAGGAATTCAAGAAGACAGACCCAGCTTCACATCCTCATTTAAAGCCTATGTTCAAGTTGCATCCTATGGCATTCTATGGGCCAGCTCTAGGGGCAAGTCACATAGCTGAGTCCAACATCCAATAGGAAGAGAAAATATATATACACAGCCTCTAATAGAAAGAACTGAAAAGTCACATGACAAAAGGCATAGATACAGAAACCATAATGAATTAAGAATAAATGGAGTCTGCCATGAGAGAGAGAATGTGATTGGCCTTTTTTGGATCAAATGGCCCCTGCTGGTATAAGCAACATGATTGGAGTGGCAGTGGGGTCATATTTCATTAATATAAGCATGGCTGCCGGGAACCCCTGTTCTGGATGGGAAACAGAAAGGCATTTACTTGTAAGCTGAATGGATACCCTACTGCATATATACTGCAACCTATGGAAATCTGAAAAAAATGGCTTAAAATATCTGTTCTTCTGCATGAGCTCCTGAGCATTTACACATGAGCTGCTCTACATGTATACTCAGGCACACATATAAATGCCTACACACTCACTCACACTCTCCATCATCAGAGTAAGAAATTTTACCCTGAATATGGAGAAGGATTATCTGGAGTTATCAAGGATCTTATACCATACACAAATTGCTCATGTTGCTTTTTTAGCTGTAGTTATTATACTCTAGGTCTAACAAAAGAGTGGCAGCTACAGCTATGAAGAGATGGGAATCTGAATCATGAAGCCTTTAATCTACAGAATGTCATAAAATTAAGTATCAGCAGGTTGATTGATAACCAGGCAAACTGGACACAATTCTTTATTAGATTCCAGTCTCTTATATAATTTCATAAAGGGCCCATAGGCCAAGATTAGATTAGGCTCAGTCACAGCATTGTCTTCTAGTTCCATTTGGTCTTCCTACTCTTTACTTGTGGTTTTAAAATGAATTCTCTGAATGGTCAGATTTTGATATTTCCAAAGCACAGTCACCTGAAGTATGTCTACTCTGAGGCAGAGGTTAAGAGGATAAGTTGTGGAGTCATACAGACTGAGGTTCACTCTCAGCTTTGCTATTTACCAGCCCAATGACCTTAGGCACGTTTCTTAAGTCTTATACATAAAATAGAGATAATAACACCAGCTGTTAGGATTGTTATTGAGAGAGGCAGTATTGTCACAGGAGTGAGTGATTGATTAAAAGATGTCAGTAGACCCAAGCAAAAAATATAAGTTCCAGGAGTGTAGGTAAGTCATACAATTTACAATACAGAGACAGCTACACAGCACGGGAGGCACAGGTGTGCTCCCAATCGGGTGAGTTGGGGGTGGAGGGAATACAACTTCTCTGGCCTTCAAGAACCCCGAGAAATATACCACTGCTAATAAAACTGCTCAAATGGGGTGGGAAAAACCCGTCAGGTTTTTTGAGATGTTCCTTTTGATAGTCTCATAAGATTTCTTCTACCTTTCTGGCCCTTCACAACTGTTGCAGAATTCTGCTAAGTCTTTGGCTCTCTACTTGGTTCAGGTTTCTCTTAACAATGTAGTACATCCTGAGTGTTTGCTGTGAGGGTGCATTGAATGTCAGTGTGTTAGCTGTACTATCCCTCCAGCAAGTTCAGTCTCTGGACTGCTTGAAATCAACTACAGAAATAGGTGAAGCATTTAGCTAAGCTGTCAGATTCACTAAAATAGGAATCATGTCTGTTTTATTCATAACTCTACCCCTAGTATCCAGCAGTATGGTTGGCATAAAGTCGATACATAGTAAATATTTGTTTCATAGATAAAGATTTGGATACATTGGCTCAACAAATTATAATTGTTATTAATTTTAAACATAATCAATGAAAAAGCTTAAATTTCTCTGTGCTTTCCATTTATATACCTATCACTATTGAGTGCATGCTGCATGCTGGATGCTATTTTAGACACTGAGTTGTCATCTCAGTAAACCTTAGGAAGTAGGTATTCCAATTTTACAGATGAGGAAACTGAGGCTTAGAAAGGATAAGTCACTTTCCTGAGTTTATGGAGGCAGAGCTAGAATTCTCACCTAAGTCTCTTCTATGCTTACTGAATTTCTCTGGTACAGGAGTTGGCACTTTTCAGAAGCTTGATATATTTTGCCAATACTCATATTTGTTGGACTTCTTCCAGTTTCTTCTGGAAGTCGGTCAGGGAAAGAATTCAGCTACTTCTCCTAAGCCTGCCTTTTCAGCTTTTATATATGAAAGACAGAGCAAGTGAGACCAGAGATCAATAGGTTCTTAAAGTCAAAGAGCCTGAGGATACAGGAACTGATGGAGTAAGCCCAGCAGGGCCACGAGTTTAACAGCCTGCAAGACAGTGGCTCTCCACTCTGGCTGCACGTTAGAATCACCCGGGGAACTTTTACAAGTACCAATGCCCAGGACTAATTAAACCAAAACACATGGGGGTGGCACCCAGATGTCAGAAGCTTGTAACATCTCCCAGATGATTCTAATATATATCTCTGAATATGAGAAGCACGCTAGAAGAGAATGCTACAGTGCTAACCTGTCAGTCACTCCAGGGGAAGGGGATACAACCAAGGGGATAAACAAGGAGAGGCAAGTGAGAGCAGAGGTGACCCAGCAGCTGTAACCAAAGGATATCGTTTTGACGGTTGACTACCTGTGTGGCCTCTCCCAGAAATCCTTGCAGTGTGCTAGTGACTGCTGATCTAAGAGGCATCCTAACTCGTTAGAATCACACAGGTGGAATTTTTAGCCTGGCATCATGCTTTTAAGAGAATGGTGTAGTCCTAACTAATGTATGCTTCCAATTCTGGGTCTCACAGCCCTCAACAGTGCCTTTAAAATGGTGGATTTATTTTTCAGTTTTTGGGTATGAAGTTCATAGCCTGTACTTTTATGATGCATGATTTGGTGATGGCTTTGGTTGTTGTTCCTTTGCATATTTGTTTTTAATGATTATTGTTGTTCTTCCTAAAATAAATGTCAAGGTGGGAAATAGTCAGATATTTTTTCCACAGGTTATAGGGATTTGCCAGTTCCTACTGAAACCACAAATTGCTGAAATCTGAGATTGAGGAAGGCGCTTCTGAAGTACTGCCTCTTTTAAAATATTTTGTGTCTCTAGATATATTTGGAAAACTAAGCATGTGGCACTTGCTCCTCCCACTGGGTATGAAATCTCTCCCATCTTGTACATGGATTACATCATGTAAATTTAGAAATGACAAAGTGATACACAACCTTTCAGATGCGAAAACCAATTAGTGTTTGTGTGGGGC